ACCCGTTTGGGGGGCTGGAAGCACCACGCCATCCGGACACAGCACATGCTCAGCGACATGTTACCAACATAATTTCAGCTGCCACACAATGGGCCAAGATAGATAGGTGGGGAAGCGTATGTGTGTGAGGCACGAACCGAGGCAGGAAGTGCGGCCAAGTGGCGACGCCCCGAGAACCGCAAATGACGCAAGAATGCAATGCGGTCGTCGCTCGGTCGGTGTGAATTTTTATTAAATAAATTGCTTGCTCAGGTTTTTTTCGTTCCCATTCCATTCCTTTTGCTTTGATTTTAGAAATACTTTTTGCTTTCATAAACAGTCACACTTTATTATGGATTTCGGATATTGCTGCGTGTAAAATAAATACAATTTTCTGACTTAAGTTTATAGATAAAAAATGCCAAAATTCATGGGAAACACAAAGGTCGTTTCGGGTTTCTACTTGCGGTTCGTTCAAAACATTTTTAATTTCTGCTTAAAAGTGACACTTTGTATGGGACATTGAACTTTAATGCGTTTCTGTTCTTAGCTGCTAACTTTATATGTATAAGTATATGTGTCTGGGAAATCTATGCCACTAACTACGTGCTATTTTATCGTACTGGGTTTAAGTTTAGTTCATTTACGTTTAAATTCTCAAACAGCGGCTGCTCAATTTTGAATCGCATTGGCCAAATATACAAATGTACTCCATCCTGTCTTCTCTCTTAGGGATTACACATTCAGTTTTTTAGTTTTTATGGTTTTGTCTTGCTTAATATTTATTTACAGATTATACTTGGATTTATCACATTTGAAATGTGCGAAATTAATTTTCAAACTGGGTTCTCTCTCGGGTTTTTGCTTAAATTTAGACCAATTTTATATACAGACGAGCATAATTGTATAAAAAATGTGTGTGTTTAAAATTAAATTACAAGTATCTTAGTGAAACTCCAGTTAAAGTTGTTAATTGTGAAAATGGCAGTATGATCGTAGACAGGGTATGAGTATGATGATGATCGGCCTGTAGCAACTGACCGAATGATTAATGCACTTAATTGCAAACTCAAATCCTAATTACTTCACTCCAATTTGACCCCGAAAACAATGCTGCCTGCCGCACTGTCATTAATTATACGCCCCACGTCTGCAGTGCCAGTGTAGTGCTCAGCTCTACGGATGTTCGGATGTGCGGATGTTTGGATGCGGCTTACGTCGGTGTCGTGCTTACTGTTTGCTTGGCAAACTTGCCCGCGGATGCTACTGATGTTGCTAAGCCCCTGGGTCAGTTAACGCTGACCAGCGGCTCCAGAGTGCTGTTTAAGTGAACCAGCTGCTGCTGCACCTCACGAAGGCTGGCTCCAGGCTCCAGGCTCCCCTCCATCGGGTGGTGGTGATGCTGTAGCTGTGGGGGCTGCGGTGGCGGAGGCAGCACCACAACCACAGCCTCGGCTGGAGTGGGCACGGGCGTTGGCATTGGAGAGGGTGCACCCGGAGGAATGACAGTCGCTGCAGCTGCCACAGCGGCCATGGTGGTGGCTGTTCCAGCCGGTCCGCTGCCCGGCGAATGCGACACACTGTACATCAGACTGCCCATGCTGGGGTGGTGCTGATACGCTGCTGGTGGAGGTGGCGCCGGTGGCAGCATCAGCTCGTCGATGGTACAGACGCGATCATCAATGGGGAAAGTAAAGTTGATTTCCTTGCCCTTGTTCTCGCCGGAGCTTGAGGCGGCTGCCACATGGGCTGGCGTGCTGCCATTGCCCGGACTCGGACTCACTCCATGTCCATTGGTTTGTACTAATGGTCCAGATAATGTTCCAGCTCCTCCGACTGCTGCTGTTCCATTGCCCGGGGTTGGGGACGTGGCCAGGGTCAGTGTGGTTGTTGTTGTGGGCGAACTGCCATTCCCCAGTGTTGTAATTGTGGTCGCCTCCAAATTCTTTTCCAAGCACTTGCTCTCGCCTGAGGAGTATACAAAAGGGAAAGGGAAAAGGAAAAATGCGGCAAAAGCAAATGAGTATCAGCGATAGCAGCAGTCACTGCATAATGGAGAATTTTCTTTGTTTTTGAACATACGAACTGCCCTAAGGCAGAGCTTCATCCGCTTTCTGAGCTCTGCTGTGTTGTGGTATTTATTGGTGAGTTTCATAACTAACTTAGGAACTTCCTGAAAATACACTGTGCGAGTATCTACTTCCTAATTCACAGTTTACTTTCGTAGCACACATCTTAGAAAAATATCTCAATTGGACTGCCTTTAGAAAGTGTTTGTAAAAAGTCTCCTGTCTCTCTGGTAGTCCCTTTTTAACTCCCTTTTTGTTTGCATTCGGAGCTCTCAATCGTAGCTGCCTAAAGACCCAGCTCTAACCCATATTTATTCAGCTTTAAGAGGAGTATCTTTCAGCTGGTATCCATGGGAAAAAGTCACAGTTTCACCCACTTTTTGCTCAGCTCTAGGAACAACACCACCCAGTGGGTGGGTTCCTGGGTATTTTTTTGTTGCCTTCTGTCAGCTGAAAATTTTTCGTATTCTCTTTTGTCCGTTTTTCTCTCTCTCTCTCTCTCTCCTCCTCTCTTTGGCCGAGTTCGTTTATCGTGGGAATCGAATTTTTGTGTGTGGCAAAAAAAGTTTCCGTGCGGAAAGGCGACAGCCTCTAAGGCCATTTTATTGTTTGTGCAGAAATGCTACAATTGCGTAAATTCAGAAGTTTGCTTTTGTTTTTTGTGGACTCCCCTTCGGTAGCGTTTACCCGGGAGTACGCTCTGCTGAATGGCAGAGCCCCTGGGCCAGTTTCAGGTGAGCTTGCTTCCCACCTGGCGGCTCGGTTCTGCATGGTCAGTGTGAAATTTATTTAGTCCTCAATTAGGTAGAGCAGGGAGTGCGTAAGGGTATGGGCACTGACTCTAAGGACCCAGCATAATGAAGCACGTTCTTGTAATTAATTAAGTGCGGCGACTTTTTCCTTTTTTTTTTAATTTGGTGAATCATGAGCGTGCAAGTAGCTGCCGGCCTGCCAGCAAGGCAACATAAATTGCGGGATGTCTTTGGCCAGTTTTTATTTCGACGCCTCGCCTGGAGTTGGCGAATTGCCAGTTACTTTCACCTCTCTTCGGTTGTAATTAAATGTAAGAATGGAAGCTGCTGCTAATCTCAGTCTAGGTCTGTGTCTACTTACTGCCATTCAGATGATCCTCCCGGGTGTAGTAGCGGGCTCGATTCTTGGAGAAGCAGGCCACCAGCGACAATATAATGACGGCAATTAGCACAAAGATGATGCCACCCAAAATGGCCAGAGTATTGAGGCCACCTGCAGTTTGAAAAAACGAGAGAGATTAAGGAGACATTCAGGTGCTAGAGCACGTATTTTAATTGCAAGTACCCTTGCCACAGATGCCCATTCCCCCCTTGGACAATTTATCCCTGTGGCTTACCGTGCTCAAGAAAATTATACGACGTGCTTGCCGCATTCTGTTCCTCATCGCTGATGTAATCCAGGCACGTGTGCAGCCCGCCAATGTCCAAATTATTTATTTCAGCGCCTCGCAAGCTTTTCGGCAGAAAGCAAATTGGATATGTGTCCCATTTCCATTGCAGCTACAAGGGAGAGCAAGGAAAACACAGAGAGAGTCAGCTTTTGGCCACTGTAATAAAGCTTCTGTTACACGATGCGTTTTCCACCGAAGCACATTTTCGACAGTCGCATCCGCAGTGGAGTCTCTACTTGACTACCTCTGCCCTTTCTTAAGGGGAATTTCTTTTGATTTAATTGACATACTAATGGACTGTATTTTGTATGATGAATGCCGTCTCTCAACAGCCTTCGTTGGAAAACGCATCGGGTAGAGTTTGCCGGCACTTGGAGGCATCATCAATCAGCGTTGGCTTTGAAAACTAATTGAAATTTTCAACGCACATGCTGCTGCTGTCGGTATTTATTTGATTTCCACTTTGAATTTCACTTACTTGCCGCACGACATTTATTAATTTTCCCATGTGACATTCATCGCATATCAAGGGATTGTTGTCGAGTCGCACATTGCGTATGCCTTGAATCCGTAGCGCAGTGTCCTCATTTATGCCGTATAATTGATTTCGAGATAAATCCAAATACTGTGGATGAAACGGATACGCAAAATGTCCACAAAAGTTCAATTAAAAGTGCATTACAGGGGAAGAAAACACACACAGAGGGAAAGGGAAAGGCAGAGAGGGTTGGCTGCAGCAAGTAGAGTTTCATTTTTATGGCAAAAGCCTGCTGCTGCTGCTGAAATTACAATTAGCTAAGGATGCAGACAGACAGATGGACGGACGGACGGACGGACCCACAGGAGTCCCCAGGAATTGGGCAAAAGCAATTTGGGTATTTTTGTGTGGGGGGATTTCTGGAGTGAAGTGTATACACAATTAAATTCAATTAAAATGAAAAGCTTAATGGCTATAAAATGATTGTTGTTGCAGGGACAATAAATTTGCCATAGTCCACGGCAACAATAACAGAAAATTCAATGGTGGCAGAGGACCGACCCTCAACCCCATCCCACTCCGAGCTTTGCAATGAAAACAATCCACAAGAAGAGTAGAGTGCTTCTTGCACCAGAGCAGATAGAGCAGAGAGCGACTCTGACTGACTGACGGACGTGGGGCACGTACAAGGACATTGGCCTGACGGAGGGGATAGTCGTATCTTTGCAACGAAATAAAGCCACGGGTTTGGCTTGTTGTCAGAAATGTATAAACAGAAATGGCAAACGCTAACGAAAACTGCAAATAGTAATGGCTGAAGGGTCCTCTGCCATCCTGTTGTCACAATGTTTCACATTGGCCATACCAAGCGGTGAAATATTCTACAAATTGGCCCAGAATAACAATAGATCTTTGGGAGGAAGAGTTGAATACAGCAATAGAGAGAAAGAGAGAGAGAGAGATGTTTATGTGTACTCTTGGACTTACCTCCAGGTCTCGACAAGGATCGATGACTTGCAGTGCCATGTTGTCCAAAGAATTGCCAGAGATATTCAGATAGCGCAGTTGCCTGAAGGGTGTCAGAAGGCCAACAGGCAATGGACCCATATCCGCAATGGCCAAATGTGTTAGCTGTGGAATGAGCTGGAAGGACAATAGCTTTAAGAGAGGGAAAGTGATGCCAGACTGATGGTAAACCCACCTCGAAAGTATCGCGCATTTCCATAAGATCCATTAGAACATTTCCACTAATATTCAGCGTCAGTAGATTGCTCAGACCCCGCACAGATTGTGGCTCCAGACGCACCAATTTGTTGTAGGATAAGTCCAGAAATGTTAGATTGGTCAGCTGCAAAAACGAATCATTGGGCACTTTGGCCAAACGATTGTACGATAAATCTAAAAAGGGTTCGAAGAGAAAAAAGTAGGATAAGAAAGGGGGGGCAGGGCAAAGTAAAATTGCGGTCACTTGAGAGTTTTTAAGTGTATGGATGTATAATTTCTGTGGCTCACCCAAATGATTAAGACTTTTCTGCATGCGAAAGAGTTGGTCCACGACCACAGACAATTGATTGCCATCGAGCAGAACTTTGTTGAGACGTTTCACATCTCGGAATTCGTCCTTCTCGAGGAACTTGAACTGCAAGCAACAGCAAAAAAGGGGAAATAATTGGAAAAAATACTTGAGAGACTCTAAAGCTAAGGCGACAAACCTCGTTGCGTCCCAAATCCAATTCGCTTAAAAGCGGCAATAAATTGTACAACTGTGGATTGATTTTTTTCAACTGACAATTTCGGCATTTGAGTACTTTCAGATCCTGTCGAGGAGATACAGATGCAAGACACAGAACAATGAGAAGGATGGGCGTTGCTTTTGTATCAAAACACTCACCGACACATCGCGGAATACATCCGGCTGTAAATCCTGGAGCGGATTTCCGCTCAGGTCCAGGTACTTGAGTCTGCTCAGCATGAAGAAATTTCGCTGCACAAGCTCCACGATTGAGTTATCGGCCAAATTAAGACGGCGCAGATCCTGGGTAAAAGCAAAGGGTTTTGGTAATTTACAAAGTTTATTATGGCATGCACTAAATTAATAATAATACTTTATGATCAAGTACAGGACTATAGCTAATAATTCATAAATCAGGCAAACATTCCCCGGTCCAGGGTCCGCACGGGAGCGCTCCGGAAACTGCCAAAAAAGTTCAAACTGCAGCAGCAGCAGCAGCAACAGCAGTAGGAGGATACTGGATGGAGGAGCAGGAAGTCGCTAGAGTGCAGTGGAAAACAAAATCGAAAGCAAATTGAAGACAACGAAACTAACTTTTGGTGCACTGGCACTTCCGTTCGCTGCTGGCTGCTGCTGGGGCCTCAAGGAGAACTTTAAATTCAAGCACGTAGAAACTGTTCCCTTTGGCCCGAAAAAAAGTAGGTAAACCCATTTCGGCTTGCTATTAAAAATTCCATAAAATTTATGACAAGGAGCGAGGCACAAAATGTACTCGTGCAAATATTGCAATCATCTTTGAGATTAAACTTGGTCCTTGGGCCTTCGCTCTGTGATAACAAGGAATGGACAAATGTGTAGCTAGGATTGAAGTGCAAGTGAATAAAGAATTTTCGGAGAGCAATCGGTTAATCTGGGAGTATGCTGATCCACCTGATAGTCCTTTACACAAAGTTCATTTTAGGTGCGAATCATTACTGTCGGACAGATAATTTGCTGCTCTGTCGATTTCAGATGGCTTTAAGCTCTCAGCTCGGCCAATTTTAAATGCTAATTATGGCAGGCGACAAATCCATCCAGCAGTAGACTCATAATTAAGTTGAAAAACAAACAAACAAATAGCTATCAGTCATGTCATCCATTCATTCCTCCTTGTACTCACCGTCAAATGACGAAACGTTGAACTGGCCATGCGTAAAATTTTATTCTTCGATAAATCCAATTCAATGAGATTATCCTGGCCCCGAAAGTTGTTCTCCGTGATGTTGGTAATATTGTTCTTGGACAGATCTGCACGTGACAGCGAATGATGGTGGTGGCAATTGTTGTTGTTGTTTTTATTCGTCCACAAAAATATGTCAATAATTCCACATGAAAAATATGCAAAAAAAAAATGTAAATTATGTAACAGACACCATACGAGCATTCCACAAATATTTATGTCTACGTGTGGGTAGGCAGGGATTAAAGACAAAAGCTGCAACCGTCAAACGTATTTCCTGCGCCCTAATGCCGCACATAAAACACATTGTGCATACGCCCCATTGTCTAGGCAACATGCCCATGACTGTCTCCAAGCGAAAGAGCTGCGCGGCTGCCACGCCCCGTCTAAACATTTGGCAAAATTAATTTAAATATAAATGGGAGAAAAGCTAAAGCTAAAGGAAATGCGAAAGCCAATTGTTTTGCTGCTCTTTGCTGGCTCCCAAAAAAAAAAGGACACAAAAACCCAACTGCAGTAGAACTTTGCTTTTTGTGGCATGTGTAAGTTCTGACAAGCGAATGAAAAGCCAATGCGAGCAGCAAAAAAAAAATAAGATCAGAGCATGTAAATAATTGGGGACCGGGTATCTGTTTCTGTCCCGAAGCGAGACGGGAGGAAGGGACCGGGGCGCCTGCCACTGGAACAGGAACTGGAGTTGTAAACCGTCCGCGGGGGGCCCGCACATAAAGCACAAATAAACAAGTTTAAAGCCCCGACCGATATCGGGCCAATGCTTTCGTTGGCTTTACACTTGATTTTTGTTGTTGGGTTTTTTTTTTCTGGCTCCCTCCGTTCGTTTGGCCCAATCTTATTTTCTTTTCGGGCCGCTTTTTGCTGTTTGGCGCATCAATTTCAATTTTATTGACAAGACAACAACGTTCTGGTTGTAAAATGGGGAACTTTGGATGCTCTTACGGAATGGGAGGTGATTGAAAGTACTTGAAAAAGGATTTTGAAAGACTTTATAGATTCTTAACAGCATTACTCAGGGCTCGGCAACTGATTATATTCTCAGTCTTAATTAGACGATATTTTGCACAAACTTTATATACAAATCCACAGACCCCTACATGGGGTGCCATTCGTCGCTATCCTGCAATGCTCATTTAATGTTTTCGCTCCTTTATTTGCGTTTGCGTTTAACGAGGCTGCAGGACAACCGCAGCCCGATCTCTGGGCTGTCCTGGGCACGTCTTTTGATTGTTCCCATATTATTTGCATATCGGTGGGTGGGGCTTTAACTACGCACAGCTGCTTAAATTGAAATCGCTGCCGCCTTTTGATTTATGTTTATTAAGGCGCTTTTAAGAGCTCAGTTCAGCTCAGCTCAGCTCAGCTCAGCATCGTAAAGCGATTGATTACTCACCTAATATCCGCAGATATTTGAGGCCCCAGAACGACTCGGCACCAATGGCAGGGAGATTGGAGTCTGTGATGCGCAGGATTTCCAGCTTCATGAACTGCCGCAAAGCAGGTCCAATCGTAATAAAGTTCCTGGGTCCACGTATGATAATGACTTTCACGTCAATATCAAGCTCATTTGCGGATAGCAGAGAGTTGAGGCCACCTGTAAAACAAAAGCATAAAAGTTAGTGGTCGTCGAGGTCGACTGGTTTGCACAATGGACACTTGAACTAATTCCATTGTAGCAGCCGCAATAAAAACTGGAGCATCTACGTGCTTTGGCTACAGTAGTGGCTCCTGACAAAACCAACAAGATCATTAATTGCAGGTAGTACGTAGAGTCCAGCGAGATTTCTTTTGCATAAAAATCCCAACAATGTCGAGCATGTCCTGGTGGAATGTCAGCCAGCCACCCAGCCAGCCAGCCAGCCAGCCAGTTGGAATCTATTTAGAATTTTTGCCAGTACAACAAATGTTCGTACTGCCAACTAAGCGGATCCCAGTTACCATTAACGATTCCTTCTGGTCTGGGTCCTGCCTCTAGCCCTTCCCCCCTCAACATTTGCATGCTGCACAATTTTTTCGCTTACTTTTGTAAGCCATTGTGTGCCACAGAATAGTGCTTCAGATCTGGGCTTTATGCATTTTACATGGATGCATGTACAACTGCTGTGCGTACACATACATATGTACATGAATACATATGCATATGTCTAAGGGTGAAGTTGCATCATAATGCGATCATTGTACTGTAGTTGTTGGAGCTGCTGCTGTTTTATGTTGTACCGAGCACTCGGTGCGAATTTTCATATAAAAAGCAAAACATTAGCGCTGATTGTAACACATTTGAACGCGCTCACAGTTTTATTTCATTGTTCGCGTTGTACTGCTAGTTTTTTGGCTTGTTCTTTGTTATGCCAAAATATGTTGGGTTGCTCATTAGTCTAAACTAGCCATAGATACATTTAGCTAACAAACTCTTTTGCATTTTGCGTTAATTTTTAAATTCCAGCTGCGAATAAAGGAATTTGTTTTGGCATTTTTCATGCAACGTTCTTGCTGATTTTTCCTCAATTCAGTTGAACACAAAACTGTAATCCTGTAACCAAATGGAAGATCCATAATCCATGGCCAACAGTTTTTGGAAATGAAATTAAAACGAATGAAAGCAATTCGCATTCAAAGCGACTCAAGGACTTACAATATGTGTGCTAACCAAACAAGCGTTAAATTGAAATTATAGATTTTCGTAGATGGTGTTTCTGAGTGTGTGTGTTTTCGCCCAAGGAAGAGGGAGACCAAGCGGCAGAAGATGGCCAGCTCGAGGGGGAAACTTTGGCTGGAGCCACAGCGACGACGGCAAGTGACAGTTGAACAAATTGAAATTGTCAGACATTTAAGAAAATGAATGGCTGAGCTTTTCAAAGTAATGTCCTGCAGATCTAGGAGTGTGTGCGTGTGTGCACACAAATCGGAGTGGATGTGTAATTATGATGGCACCCCTCTGGGTACACACTGTGGCTGGGGAGGCGCTCTGGCTCACCTCATTCTTTGTGCATAAGCAAGCACATTTCCCCGTTATCGGTTCTGGTCGCTGGTCGCTGTGCTCTGGGTTTTGCATTTATTGCGCCACTTACCTTTTGTGCAGATGGCCTGATAACGATCCAAGTCATCCATGCTGCATTGGCATTCAACGGGGCACTTCCTTCTCGTATTGCTGAACATGGCCGGCATTATGCACAGGCTGAACAGCAGCCACTTCAAAAGCATCTGCAGGAGACACGCCATCGAGCAAGAGAGAACCGGGAAAAGAGAAAGAAAGAGAAAGAGAAAGTGGAGATGGCATGAGAAAAAAAACGTGAAAAAGTTATTTCATTTCTGTGGTTAGTGAATGCAATTAGTGGCGTTTGCCTTTTGTGGCCTCACTTCTAGCCCACACTCCGCAATGAATATTTTATGCTACTCCCTGAAACTTTAACGAAGCGTTCACAAATCGAACACATTTTAATTGCTTTACCCAGGTGATTGAAAGTCTCGCACAACTAATTTAACTTTTCCCCTGTTTAGTTTTTGCTGCCAATTACGTCAAGTGGTAGTCCAGTTACAATTTACATACGGACAATAGGAATACATAGAATTCTTTCACGTAACATTATGACCTTTCCGCTATACGTTCCTCTATGCGTTGGTGTACAATTGACAGATTTATGCATAAACCCATTCGTTATGTCTGTGCATTTTTGAACAAACAGATCAACGTATATATTGTACATATAGAAATACGTATATGTATGGTTATTCGCACAGCATTCATCTCACACCGATCCAAAGAGTGGTGTCACATGTTGACATGGTTCCAGCTGCTCTTGTTGCTGGTGTAGTTCTTGCATTATTTTTTTGTTGCTAGTTGGTTTCTCTTTGGAAAACAGTAAGTTCTGTGGTTTTGTTACATAGTTACATAGTTTGCATGTGTGTGGTGTGTGTGTGTGCATTGCGTATACGCTGGCCATGTTGACCTCGGTGATTTGTGGTCGGAGCTCGGCACTAGGACACTTGTGCGCACCGCGGCCAACGATAAACTGTGGCGTTGGTTGGGTCCTGCTGTGGTCCTGATGCAGTCCAACGTGCTGCATAAATTAGCCACAGCACATTGTGGTTTAGAAAACAGCAGAGGGCGAGGGCGAAAAAAAGGAGTCCAAAATTATAAAAGAGAGCCACGTAACTGGCACCAGAGTTAACCAGTTTTCAATTTGCCTAAAAGCCACGACCTGCGATGTGCATTCGAAAATTGAATTTCGCCAAAAGAATATTCTCGTGCGCCTTGGAGCCGCTGTGTTTCTTGCCGACATTTCTCGGTTACATGCGAAAGCCGCAGGATTTATGTGCAGCATATTTTTCATTTCACATATTTGGGCATAACGCAGGAACAGAGCCAGGGCCCGAAGGGAGCAGAGAGTGTCCGGACGAAAAGAGTTGTCTGGCTGGCAGCAACTGTCAAGTTGCCGGCTCATCGTCGGCACCTTATGCATTGTACTTCCCCGGATTTGTTGTCAGGATATTGCCGCTGGGCGCAGTTGAGTAATATTTCTGCAAAGTTGCTGCGGTAAAAGTGAAAAATTGCGACAGCCGCTGCCGCTTCGAGGACACATTTTGCTCACCACTCAAGGCGGCTTCCGGGTGAGGAACTTTTTCCTCCTGCTGCACATTTCCAACTCTTTATTCTCTCACACGCACACTCAATTTAACATGGCACATAACTCTCAGAATATACTTCCAAAAAGTGCATTTAAAATGGCAAACTACTTGCAAGTACAAAAAGGAGAATCTGCACAGACGCATGTGGAAAAGTAACGCGGCTCAACTTTTGATTTGTATTCATCCTTTAACCCAATACCACACACACACACAAATTAAACACATTTTCATTGGAAACCTTTATCAAAGCTCGGTAATTTGGTCTGTCAAAGATGGATGGCCCAGAAATCAGCATCTGTCAGAGTCGTTATCCAAAGACCGGGACAGCACTCTCCTCCGGCCACCATCCGACGTCCTACACGCTCCGTTTGGATTTTGGTAAACTTTTGCTGGGCCTGCACATGGCGCACGCGAACCTGCTGAAAGTTCTGGGAGGGAGAAGAGCGGAGCCAACATGGGCATCTAAAGTAGTTGCTGATATCAGCTTTCAGCGTATGCCAAGCCATGGTCAGGCCTTTCCCTATTTAAACATTGGCAAATTTGTTTGGCCCGTTGCCCACACAGAAAGCAAACAGAAACATAACAGAGTGGAGTCGAGTAAAACCGGAAGCAATCCGAGAAAAGAGACCGAGTAGAATGAGTGAGTACAAAATTACTCATACGCCTCTTGGGACACTCAACGGATGTGGCATTTAATACGTTCGCTACTTTTGTAATTGAATATGATAAATCAAACACAAATTTGCTCACAGCCAAGAGCCCAGACCCTCCATTGCCACTCATCCTCATCCTCAACCTCAACCTCAACCTTGGCCTAAGCCAAAGCGGAAGTGGTCGGGGAAAGGCAGGTCCTTCTGACTTCTCCGTCTCCAGTTACACTTTCGCATAAACTCTGATTTGCTTGGGTATTCATTTGTTGGTCACTCTGAATTGTGTTAAATTTAATGCCTTTTTTGCGAGCCTCAATTCAAAACCAAATAAATCTCAATATTTTCCAAGGGAGCAGCCAAGCCAAATCAAATTACGTTAAATTCCTGCCAAAAGGCTAAGCCCCCCGAAAAGAATAAAACAAAAACTGAATACAACGGAGAGGGCGCAACATCTGGCATAATATTATGAATTATGCTGGTAGGTGGCGGTGTGTGGGCGTGGTCGATTTGCGCCTTTCGACCGCTGACCGACGTGGGGCAACATTAAAATTCATGAACACATTTATTGCCAATTACTGCAAGGCCCGGGGCACGTTTTATATACATATATATATAGCACACGTATGTTTATACAAATATACTGTATATATAGCTGGCAATGAACATCGAGAATCGCAGCTCACATACATACATACGATTCCATTGCCCAGCCGAACTTTTCCCGAACAAAAATGTACGCAACGAAAAAAATATTTTTTTTTTGGGTTTTGTTCGCCCAAATTGATAAATTAGATTTACGCTTGAGAGGTTATATTACAATACATACAAATATTTTTTTCTGACTGCTGATTTTGTTTTTCTTATATTATTTGCCGCCTGTCGGAGTTTAACGTGCCACAAAATTATTTTAAAGCCTGCGGGGGGATGTTTCATGTAATATTTTCTTGATTTTTTGATCTGATGGTAAATCCATGTTGTATATTTTGACCTGAGGGTTCATTTATGGTTTTCAGACGTGTCCGATAGCGCTTTTGCCATACACACTTGTTAAGTTATGGGCTTCATCAGACAACGAAAATGGCTGCGCATTTATAAGGCCAATAGCTGTTGAACGCAACAATTTATCACATAAATATATATAATTCATGAATAATGAAAGAACAGAAAGGGTGAAAAGAGCGCCAGAAATTTCACTCACTATATATTGCACTCGTGAAAATGTAGCACTTGACAAACATAAACCATTTGCTTCCTCAGTTGTTGCCAAAATTCAGCAATTTAGAATCATTACATGCGGCTCAGCACTGGACAAACATGGTTTTATCAATTTCCAATGCAAGTCCTGGGGCTATCTGTAAGCTGCTCGGATTGAGCAAAGTGGCCGAGACGCGTGGTCATAGAAGGAATGGAAGTGGCGGGAATATATACAATGCTGCATGGTCACGAAGCTGCTCCTTGGGCCTCGAACGCCCTCGAAGGCATAAAAGACTTGAGCGATTAGTTGCAGAACGTGCAGTGCATGCGATTGGTAGAAGGAACGATGAACAGGGATCAGGCATGGTCTGGCATCAAGAGTGGGCGGCCGGCCACACAGAAATAGCCTGGGATCAGGCACAGGTCGAGCCGGAATATGCCACGTGCTGCCCATTGCATGGCAGCCAGCCATAAGGCTAAGCTCCAGCAAGCCACAACTTACAGGGAAACCAAGAGAGCTTTAAGCCTCGCTGACCTTCCTTTGGGTGGAGGGAGGATTTACATGAGCAAACCAAATTGTCGTTTATAGATCTGTACCTCTGTATCCGCCCGCACACACACGTGTCCAGTTGTTGTTGCTGTAATTGTTGTCTATAAACAACTGGCACGTCCTACCATTTTTTCTAGACTTTTTTCACACTCAAATGTGAGAAATTTCATGTAGGACAAGAGGAAATTTATATAAAATAGCCCAGGCATAACCTTTGGCTGAGTGTGAGTGTGCTGTGGGTGTATGCAATCAGCTGCAGATTTTGTCGCCTGTTTTTTGGGTCATTTGTTCAATGCGATTAGTTTTTGGCCACACCCACAAAGCCCACAGAGGGCTTGCCTGTCTCTCTCTCTCTTCCTGTGTTCGTGGGTGTGCATGTCCCAGGCGGAAGTCTGGCCAAGCGGAAAGAAGGAGCAGCAACAGGGGAGGACATTAAGCTGACATTGGCCAATTAGGCACGGCAAATGAGCAGCAATCTTTTGAGGCAATGATGCCCAAAACAGGGATTAGTGTCCTACACACACACACACACACACACACACACACCTTGACCACCATCATCGAGGAGAGACGTTCCTCTGTATTGATTCTCAGTCTTTAAGTGAATTTACCTTTCAGCAGCCTCCAAACTGTGCGTGTGGTCAGCAGACTAAACAAAAAAAAAAACACAGCAGATTCCAAGAACCCTTCACTTCCACTTCCACTCTAGAGGCTTGAATTTCAGATGCCCCAACCCCAAACAGCAACCAGATATTAACTTTCAACTGACCGCCGCGTCACGCCGTCCCAGAAACGACATCGTCATCGTCATCGCCTTGGTTTGGTTTGGTCGCGGTTTTCTGTTGCTTGTCAGCCCAGAGACAGCACCTGTCCGGCTTTGGTCTGGTCTGGTCATGGTCACAGTTACAGCTGCTTTTGTCTGCCTTTTGATTGCATTTTTAACGCTTCACGCCCGCTTGGTCCGAGCAGTTAGCAGTTAGCAGTTAGCCATTGTCTCTGTCCCTTTTAAAGTATCTTCTTAATTGAATTGCAAATGCCAAAGCGATGAAGAAATACTAACGCACAAGGAGTTGCATTAAGCTGGAGATACAAGCTCAAGAAAAGCAACAGCATGATGATCCAGTTAAGGTACTCCTGCTACAGGCTTAACTTTCAATTATCCTCGACCTCCATCCTCCTGA